ACTTGGAAGAAATCCTACCAGCTTTCAGCAGGTCAGTCCGGATTTGTGGAGCAGATTCTGTTAAGCTTTCCATGCTTGACAGTGCCTTGTTTTAGAATTTTGTTAATCGAACGGAAGAGATTAGGGTAAGAAGACTACATATGCCAGATCAAATTAAAAATTAGGGCAAATACAAGGACTGCAAAATTATGGAATGGACCCATTCAGGTCCTCTTCTCCATCAACTACTAAAACAGATGAAAATTTTGGAGCTGCAAAACAAAGTTTTGGGAAAAAAATGTTATTTCAAGCATCTTTTAACTCCTAGCCCCAGGAAGTAGATACAAATTCTCACTTTAAACCAAGGCAACTAAATTGCTTTATGAGACTTTGGGTCCTTCTAAGCATTAAGCAAAAAAACCCCAAAGATGCCCAAGGATGAAATGGGGGGGAGAGGGGAGGGAAGGCTCCTAGGAAGTGTACGTATGACACCAGGAGCATGGAAATTCATAAACTGCAGAACTATGGAAAGGGCCACTCATTATCAAATAAGTTACTTTCAAAGCTTCCATTCCCTATCTCCCAGCTTCTTCTCTATCTTTAGCCTCCTTTTTTCACTCTAGTGTTCAGCTCAAAATATCCTACAAGTTGCCAAGCTGCAATCAGTCTAAAATCTCCTGGAATGCTAAGGCAAAAACTTGCCCGAGTATTCCCCCCCTCAATTTCTCAGGCTGGAAGGGCTGCTGGGGCCTTCTCATTGCTGTGCAGCCCATCACAGTAGGCATTTGGGAACAAATGGCCTCAAAAAAGTTATTGGAAATACATGTTTTCTGGTAATATCCTGTGTACTTTCACCTGTGGTGAAGAATCTCCTCCATTGTGTCCAATCTCTCCTCGTTTCCTGGACTCTGCACTGACCAACTCAGGCAGTTGTTATAAAAACGCAAAATAGCCTCTACCCTTGCGCCAGGCATACAGAGAATGCTATCGAAAAGTGGAGCAACACATCAGGCAAATACAAAGTGTCATGACAGTGTCATCTAACCCAAACCTTGTGGGGGCCTGGAGATCTGCTGAAGGCCAAGGGCCTCCGTACCTCCGCACCGGGCTCCTACCTGCCCCCAATCCGGCACTGCTCTGCTCCCCTCCACGGGGCTTGGCCTTTCCAGGCAGGTGGGAAGGTGGCTCCTCCAGGCCCTCCTGCCGGGTGTCATTTCACGGCATTCGGAGCCAACCTGCAGACATCACTAGAGCCCAGCTGCGTGTCTACTGCCACACAAAATCTCCTCTC